ATATAAAGAAGACGAAGATTAAGGTGGGCAAGACCACACTCGTTGGCGATGTTCTCAAGACCATATAATTGTTGAATACTTTATTGTGTATGGGACGAGGTTTGGTTAATTTTACTTATGTTTAGATTCATGAGCAATCGTGTTCTGTTTAAGTGTGCTCGTGCAAATAATGGGTCGTAGTTTATGTGGTTTTGTTAAATTTAAGTCGGTACTTTGTATTCCGTTCATGACTACATTTCATTGCGTGTCATGTGTTTGTTTTAAGATTTCTTGTATTCATCTTTTCGTAGTAGTATGTGTAAGTTTTGCGCGGGATCGGTGTTTTGATTTGTGCTGGTTTGGTTTCTTATGCTTACTTACAAGTTATTATCGGTGCTTGCTTCCATGGGTTAAGCTATAATTAATCGTGTTCGAGTTTGTGAGTGTTCCTCTAAGCTCCTCGATTTCATTCACGATCCATTATATGGTTAATTAGGGTAACTACTTCACTTTACTTGCTCACTTCATCTCTTTCTTAATATAGATTTTTGTCGAGGGATGAGTTTGGAATAATGTGTTTCTATGCATGCACGTGTTCTGTATATGTGTTGCGCTCATAACGTAGGGGCACTATTGGGCAACTAATTGCGACGAAGATTTTCCTTGCATAATTTGAAAATACCGTTACACAATTTTGGCGCGTGCGAATAAGATTTTATGGCATAACAATAATGTGCGATGACTTTTGTCGGTGCTAATAATGTCGGGCCAACTTATCATATTATGTGATCCGAATCTAGTGATGTTGCCAATATCCAGGAAATTTATGGTTTTCCTACTTTTGACTACCACGTGTCTTCGATAAAATTCGATTATATTGTTGACATTAATGTTCTTTTCGGAAATCTAATGTCTCGATTATGGCAGCCACGTGTTTACACTCTTAACTAACACTTGTTTCGACGTAAATATTTAATGAAAAAAGTCACTCGATGTTACAAGAATCGGCTATTATTGCAAACACTCCTTAATTTTCTTCTTTCCTCAATTGCGTCATGAGCCCTAAACACTCTCCGTCCCTCGTCGAAATCTTTTGCTTCCATAACTGTACCAATTTAGGTCTAATTTCATGCCTTTGATAATTCGGCTCATGTTTGACACTGCCTTATCAAATTACGCGAAGCTAGCCGAAAACTAAACCATTTGAAATAAAATACCATTTTAAAACTTCCTATCTTCTTCTAGTTGATGCAACTTCATTCAGTTGATTTGTTTTTCTTGATTATAACAACAATATAAATATATACACATAAAGATCGTCGTTTCATAATTGAGCTAACATATATACGACCATTATTGATCGTTTGTGCCTCAATCATATACTCGCCTGTACGCGAATTCGCCGTGTCTTTCAAAGATGTTCTTAATCTGCATTCTTTCCCACCAAAATCTGGGTATTCACTTGAACTTGAACGAGCGCACATGAGAATTAGCCTGACCCATCAAATTACTTGTTCATTTTTTGATGAGGGGAATTTCATATGAAACTTTAGGGTTTATGCATTATTAACATGGGAATAAAAATTACAAGTCTGTCCATTTTCTAAACTGGGCCTGATTGGATAAAATAGTCGGTCCAATTTATAAGGATTGGGTTTTAGGCCCAGGAATGTATTTGTCCCACCTTGGTACAAATTCTGATGATTTTCACGGTTAGCATTCTA